TCTCATATGCCCAATGCGCCCATAGGCGTAAAAGGAAATCTTAACTTTTTTTTGCGAGTGGCCGTTACGTTGGCAGCTAGACGCCCTCCTACGGATCAGATGGTTATGGGTTCGCCTTCTGACGGTGCTGGACCTTTTTTCAAAAATGACCCAGCCTTGAGTGGGTACCAGATGCAGTCCTGGGAAGCAATGGCGGTCGGCGTGGTGCTGAACACATCACCAAGTGACGATTGGTCTATAAAAATGTATGTCTAGCCCTATATGCCCTATACGCCCAAAAGGGTGGAAAATGGTCCCCTTCTTCCTTACGCATCGGGTATTTGTTAGATTAACATTTTCATAGCCCAAGGTCAACATCATCACAACGGCTGCTATCACTTCCTAACACATTACCTGGCCTCGGCGTCTGTGGCATAGGCGTTGCCAACGGGCTTCGTAATGCCAGGGGGGCGGGTTCGATCCCAGCTGCAGGCAGTTTTTTGCCTTGCCTTGGTTTCCACATTAGTATAGAGAGCCATATATATATATATATATATATATATATATATATATATATATATATATATATATATATATATATATATATATATATATATATCTTGGAAAGAGAAGAGGAGAAATACTGACATCTTGAAAGATCTGAACATCAAGGAAGATCGGCTAATAAACAGCATCATGTCTCGGAAGCTGAAATATTTTGGTCATATCAAGCGCCACGACGGACTGGAAAAAATTATAGCAGAAGGCATGGTACCAGGAAGGAGGGGCAGGGGCCGACCGTCACGAAGATGCGCACAGGATGTAGGTGACTCATTGAGTATGAAAGGACATGAGGCGGGAAAGCGTGTGAGAAACCGAGTTCCTTTCAGGCAGACCGTGATGAGAGCGACGTTCTTCAAAGGACCTGCTACATGATGATTATGATGATATATAGGGTAAATAGTGAAAGAACATTTTGCCTAGAAAAACCACAACGGCCAAAAAGTGCTGGGGTTTGTTATGCAACGACATGTAAAGGGTATGCAACTAACATAACCTCGCACCTATTTTAGATAAGGTCAATATGTGAGCCAAGGTCAATCTACTCCCTAAATCTCTTTCTCCAATCCCCACGCCAAAAGTATTCGAAACCAGAACTTTCGGCCCGATTGACGAGCGTCTACCCACTACGCAGCCTGGGCTTCTTTTACATTTCTTATCTCTAAAAGCCTAAGTGTCTGATAAATGTCTGCCAGTGTCTCACTGCCAATTGCCAAAGTCTAACATCTGTCCGATGAATCAACCATAGGCTTGTCACTCTGGTTGTGAATGTAGTAGGGTGGAAGCGACGAAGACTACAGTACAACAGATTAAAGGTCTTTGAGAGGTTTATCCTGGTTTAAAAATGCTAACCGGCCTTTTGAGAAACATTGACAGTTAATAAAGTATACGAAAGATGGGGAAAAATCTGGCTCGCTGGGTATAAAAGATTTTGTCTAGTCTCGCAGCGATCTATTCGACTTCCGGACCAAACTGTGGAAGCCTGACCCAAGAAGACTGATGCTTTGCACAATGGGCTGGTCTATGGGCATGGCGACCACAGGTAACGTTCGTGGTCGGACTGATGGCAGTCAAGGGTACGTTCAGTGGTTAGTTGGTTAAAATAGATTTTCATTGGTATTCTAGACAAGGAATAGTTAAATGGTAAATTGCTGTATGTTTGAGGTTTTGTTTCAGCACGTGGTCGTTTATGTCGTTACTTTTTGGCCATGCTGATGTGAAGTTCAATAAAATTATGTTCAACGTTGTATTCATAGTTACAGTTGTTTCCTTCAGCTTAGGACTTCTAGTTAGTGTGCTTAGTAGTTTCCTAGTACAGTTTTATGTTTTTAATTTAGTTTATTATTACCTGACTTATTAGACTCTACACAGAAGATCTAATGCCTGGACTAGAATATTATTGTTTCTAGCCCCCACCTGAACGAATCTATCTATTTCCTATTTTCTTTCCTCATTTTTTTAATAGTAGTACTATGGGGCTTTCTAGCCCTGTTACAAATGGCGTCGCCGGGCAAGGATTTTGGTGGCCATTAGATAATTTGTGTCTAGCCTAGTTAGTTCAAGTAATAATAGTAGTTCATAGTTTAGATTGATTTTTAAATGGCGCCCAACTTGTGGGGCTTCTATATTGCAGTCTTTTGTTGATATTTGTTTAGTTAGATGTGACAGGATTTAATTCACACAGTTCTAGTTTGTGCAGGTAATAGTAGTGATTTTTAAATTTTAAATTCGGTTTTTATGGCGCCCACGTGCTCTTTTATTTCAGACTTTAAATATGTTAGCCCACGTGTGTGGTTTCGTTATCAAAGACTTGGGTTGTTCATAGTTAGGTTTTATATCATCTTGTTCACGGATGAGTAGCGTTGTGGAGTAATTTAATTAGCCAGGTCTAGACGGCTCAGATTATCGCGTCTTGATCCTAATTTGGTTTAGGACTTGTGTAGGTTCAGCCTGTGTAGTTTTATTGTGTGTTAGTTTTATTATATGTTAGTTTTGTTTTCACTAGCAGTAGTCGGCGTCTATTGTTAAGTTAACTAGGAGTGGTCAGTGTCTATTGTCGACTAGGAGTGGTTTTGTCTATTGTCCACGGAGTGACTTGTTTACGTCTCGACCTGAACTTGGGGTCAGTTTATCTTGATTTATGTCTCCACATCAAGGTTTAACTGTAGGTCTGTTTGTATAGTAGGGAGCCTTGTTTAAAGTACACCGACCGAGCCACTTAAGCAATGACGTTTTTTAACATTGCTGGTACCAGTTGAAACATTGTAGGCTTCGGCCGAGGTAATTTCGTTCCATTCTCATGTAGGCTTCGGCCGAGGTAATTGTTGAATGTCACTTCGAAGCCAAGCGGTGTTGGCAGTCACGAGAGGATTGTCTCTTGATGGCCGAGCGGCCGAGACATTGGCAAAAGTGGTAACGTGTCCGATCAGTCCATTGTAGGCTTTTTCAAAGCCGAGGTAATTGTAGGCCTTCCATGAGGCCGAGGTGATGTCCGATATGTCTCTGATGGCCACGCGGCCGAGACAAGAGTGTGTTATGTCTCTCGAGGGCCATGCGGCCGAGACAATGTCCATTGTAGGCCTTTGGCCGAGGTAGTGAACGAAAATGTCCATTTGTAGGCTATGCCAAAGCCGAGGTAATTGTAGGCTATGCCAAAGCCGAGGTAATGTCCGATATGTCTCTCGAGGGCCATGCGGCCGAGACAAGAGTGTGTTACGTCTCTCCAAGGCCACGGGGCCGAGACAATGTCTTTTGTAGGCCTTTGGCCGAGGTAGTAAACGAAAATGTCCATTGTAAGCCCTGCGGCTGAGGTATCAAATATGACAACTTATCTACGGAGAATTACTGGACGTCGGAGAGGAAATCCAACTGATCAAGAATCCGGATGTTAACTGATTACTATGTTTTATTGCAGTAACATGTTTTTTTATTTTATTTTAGGTTTTGCTTGTTGTGTTTTAGTAGTGATTTGATATGTGTTTTAACGCATTGTTCTAGCGAGGAGCGGATTAATTGGGGGTTTGTTCTACTCTGATGGTGTCTCGGACCCAAGCGCACACGCTAACGTGTTCCGATGATATCGCCATTATTGATGTAGAGGGGGGATTTGTAGTGATTTTGCAGATGGTAGCTGAAACTCGAACGCAAATGTTCACTGGATGTTTCATGACTACTGCCATCTTTGTAATTTCTTTTTTGGGACTTATAATACGTTCCTTATCCAGTTTCCTTGGGACGAGTCATGCTTTGATCATATATCGATGTCAACTATTTTTGGGTGAATGTTATTAGTGGTACTGAAAGTAACTAGTGATTACGTGATGTTGGGAGGAGTATTTTATTTCAGGTGGCTGTGGCCAGTAATGAGGGATGTAGAACAGGAGTTGGGAGATGATTTTTAGACAATTGATGTTACATATTGTGTAGTTGCCGGGACGTCAACAAAAATAATAATCCGACGTGTAGTAGGGTGGAAGCGACGAAGACTACAGTACAACAGATTAAAGGTCTTTGAGAGGTTTATCCTGGTTTAAAAATGCTAACCGGCCTTTTGAGAAACATTGACAGTTAATAAAGTATACGAAAGATGGGGAAAAATCTGGCTCGCTGGGTATAAAAGATTTTGTCTAGTCTCGCAGCGATCTATTCGACTTCCGGACCAAACTGTGGAAGCCTGACCCAAGAAGACTGATGCTTTGCACAATGGGCTGGTCTATGGGCATGGCGACCACAGGTAACGTTCGTGGTCGGACTGATGGCAGTCAAGGGTACGTTCAGTGGTTAGTTGGTTAAAATAGATTTTCATTGGTATTCTAGACAAGGAATAGTTAAATGGTAAATTGCTGTATGTTTGAGGTTTTGTTTCAGCACGTGGTCGTTTATGTCGTTACTTTTGGCCATGCTGATGTGAAGTTCAATAAAATTATGTTCAACGTTGTATCCATAGTTACAGTTGTTTCCTTCAGCTTAGGACTAGTAGTTAGTGTGCTTAGTAGTTTTCTAGTTTAGTTTATTATTACCTGACTTATTAGACTCCGCCAGAAGATCTAATGCCTGGACTAGAATATTATTGTTTCTAGCCCCCACCTGAACGAATCTATCTATTTCCTATTTTCTTTCCTCATTTTTTAATAGTAGTACTATGGGGCTTTCTGGCCCTGTTACATGAAGGTAGTCGGCTAATTCCATTTGCTAACGCACCGATAATATAGCACCAAATCTCACAGCACCTGATGCAAAGTCACCATATCGTCTTGTTCCTGTCCAGAGAGTCCGATGAAGTGCAGCAGGGGAACATCGAGGCCCGGCTTTATGACCCAGATCGGCCTATCTTCCGAGACAGTCTAAGAAGTATTGGGCCAAAACTATCGACGACGAAGGATCTTTCTACTGATGATCGGTGGACCCTCCTGTGCATGTTTCCCTGTGGAGTTCTTACTGTACTTTCATCTGACACCTACCTGTTTCCCTGAGCAATTTCTCCAAGTACTGTCTGTCCCCGTAGAGGTCGCCCAGCATCTGTTTGATAGTTCTCTCATTGCCTGGTTTTTCTGTTGGCCTGATTCTCTTCATAATTATTCGCGTTTTCTTTGTACACCCGACTCCCTTGTTTCTTGACTTTTTCTGATAATTTGACAAATCAAGAATTAAGCTTTCACTAGATCAAGGAAGCATTTATGTATCGGTCACTCATCTGGTGTATCATCAAAACAGTTTCAATTGAAATTGCATATAAAATCCTACAGTCTGTCCTACAGTTTGTCTGATAATATCATTGCTAACGTTGACTCGGATAGTTAGGTTGGCGGCTTTTCTCAGGTATCTCGTTTTGCAGGTGTTAATTTTACGTAAGTTAGCCTTTGATAATGCCAAAGTCTAGCACTGGCAGCACAGTGTTGGTATGAATATGCTGTTTATAATCTGTTTCTTGGGGCGAAGCTGTGTCAACCCTCAATCTCGCATCCCCTCCTGCACAGAAAATCCACTTTCGTTGATGAATGTTGAATGTTGAATTAATCGACATCATAGCACTCGGGACATTCCCATAAGCGCTCTGTTCCCATCTTTAGCAGCAAAGGAAAAGTTCCAGTTTCGGTGGCACCAGTAACTGCCTGATTGTTTATCCGTCTCGCATTTCCCTTGAGTGTTGAGCGTCGGCAAGGTCCCCTGGCAACTCCTCGCAGTGCTATTCTCCTCAGACCGTGGTGACCTATTTGCGCTTCCGCACTGTTCAATCGCTCCCAGAGGACCCTCACAACATCTAGCTTGTCGTACATCAGTTCACCATCAAGTGGTGCAGAACCGGCCAGTCTATCTGCCTGCTCATTTCTAACACAGTGGCATTACCTGGAGAGAATATTCAAAGGATGCTAACTACCCGGTAACTCTAAAGTGATGCTTGCCACTCTGCAAGAAGCATACATGTCGTCACATTTTTAAGATGCTCTGTGAGTCAGTGACAATCACGGCATGTGTGTACAGCTGATTCTCAAGCCAGCGGAATGTAGCAGTGACTGCCCCCAACTCCATATCATATGATAGACTTTGTTGCACTAAGCCACGTCCATTCGCTTTTGCTATGAACCCCCACGAACTTCCTTTGCCCCACAACACAGAGCCATCTGTATAGATAGATAATTACATCATTTGGGCATGAATTGTCATTAATCACTCTACTTTCTTTGTGATTTTATTAACATTGCTAGAAAGTATATTTTTAATTTTAGATGTTGCGGGTCACTTTGCCCCGATAAAATGGGCTCATAAAAAACAATGAGTTAATGCTTCAAATGTGTCATTCTTCTTCGTTTTCTCAGCATTCAAAGCTTTGAGGTTAATTGCTGCAAATATCACTTGCCTCCATTGATCTCTGTAATTGGTTTTTTTCTTTCCAGTTAGTGGTTCCGTGTGTCTGTAAGTCGGATTTTCTACGTTCTCTCAACCGTCGTACCTCAAAGGCGTTCTCGCGAGGAAAATCTGGCTTTTTGTGGAGATAAAACATAAACTTCTGCATCGACATGGAAGCGCACTAGCCGCTTTGCGGTAATGCGGCTCTACCTCTTTCTCTCTCTCTCTCTCTCTCTCTCTCTCTCTCTCTCTCTCTCTCTCACACACACACACACACACACACATACACACGCGCGCGCGCAATTTGATGCGTATACCGGCCAACCAATTCTGTTTTCTTCCTAATTTATTTCCCGATACATTACACCTGAATCCTTTTCACATGTGCAGACAATAAAGCTCACATGTTACACGAGAAAGAGATTCGCTTGCATGCAGACAAACACGAGCACAGGCCAGGTTTGAAGACAAATGACGAGCAGGTGATCGCTTTCAAACCCAAATTCTCCACAGGTAAATGGCAACAACAGGTTAAAAACATTTTGTGTGTGTGTGTAAAAAAAGTGAGGGGGGGGGGCGTAGAGAATCACGGAGAAACATACCTCGTCAGATGGATAAAAACAGGAGAGATCGCCTGTCATGGTTAGCTTCACTCTGTCGGGAGCTAGAGAGAGAAAAAATATTTGTGGAATCAGGCTGAGACAAGCATACAATGCTATTGGTACATATGGCCTATAACAGTCATTAATAATGTAATGTGGATAATAATCTTTTGTGAATGAATAACAGAAAGCACACTTAAAGAACATATTGGGCCCCTTACCTCCATGCATCAATTTACCATCAACTAATACATAACCAGCCAGTATGTCTGCCTGTTCGTTTCCTGATATTCCTGTATGGGTTCATGGACCCAGAATGGACCCACTGCCCCCCCCCCCCCCGACAAGAATATCATAGAGAACGACTAAAAAAGGTTTGTTTTCTTTGAAGTCGGAGTGCATCTACCCAAAAGACGTGAAGCAGACTGTTTGCATACAAATAAGTTAGATATGTAAAACGGATGTACAGGTAAAACTCAAGTGTTAGAACATGACCAAAGTCCAGAAGTAGACGAACAACAGGAACTTTCCATCAGAGTTTATAGCCAGTGAACGCTTTAGAGAAAAAGAAGAAAAAAAAATTTTCAACGCCCCTGGAGAAAATTTCAATAGAATGCTATAGCAGATAATTGCACACTAAATGCACATACACATGAGGTCCCTTGTTGAAGAAACGTACAAAAACGCTCACATAACACACAAGGTCGACACAACTCACTGCCAACACAGTTGAAAATAGCTTCCTGCGCTTTCCGTATCCCCAGACGGAAGTTGTGTAGATCCGGGCGCACGTTGTGACCGCGATGGTAGAATACAAGGGCCATTTCAAAGTCTCCTTGGTTGAAGAAAGCTTCTGCCTTTTGAAACATGCCCTGTGGAGACAGATTAGATTGTCTTAGTTGTGTGTGACTGTCTGTCTGTGTGACTGTCTGTGTGAGCGAGACCGTTCGTGAGAGTTCAGTTCAAAACTGGCTTGCTGGAGAGATTCGAGGATAGTCCACAGAATAATGAAAAAATTACTTCATGTGGATAAGTGCTTCTGTAAAAAAGTGGTTAAAGAACGCTGAGAAATTACAAGCACAGTATAAATAAGTGCTTCTGTAAAAGAGTGGTTAAAGAACGCTGAGAAATTACAAGCACAGTATAAATACGTGCTTCTGTAAAAGAGTGGTAAAAGAACGCTGAGAAATTACAAGCACAGTATAGATACGTGCTTCTGTAGAAAAGCGATAAAAGAAAGCTGAGAAATTACAAGCACAGCATGGATACGTGCTTCTATAGAAAAGTGGTGAAAGAACGCTGAGAAATTACAAGCACAGTATAGATACGTGCTTCTGTAGAAAAGTGGTAAAAGAACGCTGAGAAATTACAAGCACAATATAGATACCTACTTCTGTAGAAGAGTGGGAAAAGAACGCTGAGAAATTATAAGCACAGTATAGATACCTATTTCTGTAGAAGAGTGGAAAAAGAACGCTAAGAAATTATAAGCACAGTATAGATACCTACTTCTGTAGAAGAGTGGAAAAAGAACGCTGAGAAATTACAAGCACAGTATAGATACATGCTTCTGTAGAAGAGTGGTTAAAGAACGCTGAGAAATTACAAGCACAGTATGGATACGTGCTTTTGTAAAAAAGTGCTAAAAGAACGCTGAGAAATTACAAGCACAGCATAGATACGTGCTTCTGTAAAAAAGTGGTAAAAGAACGCTGAGAAATTACAAGCACAGTATAGATACGTGCTTCTGTAGAAGAGTGGTTAAAGAACGCTGAGAAATTACAAGCACAGCATGCATACGTGCTTTTGTAAAAGAGTGGTAAAAGAACGCTGAGAAATTACGAGCACAGTATAGATACGTTCTTCTGTAGAAAAGTGGTAAAAGTACGCTGAGAAATTATAAGCACAGTATAGATACATGCTTCTGTAGAAGAGTGGTAAAAGAACGCTGAGAAATTACGAGCACAGTATAGATACGTTCTTCTGTAGTAAAGTGGTAAAAGTACGCTGAGAAATTATAAGCACAGTACAGATACCTACTTCTGTAGAAAAGTGGTAAAAGGACGCTGAGTAATTATAAGCACAGTACAGATACGTGCTTCTGTAGAAAAGTGGTAAAAGTACGCTGAGAAATTATAAGCACAGTACAGATACCTACTTCTGTAGAAAAGTGGTAAAAGGACGCTGAGTAATTATAAGCACAGTATAGATACCTACTTCTGTAGAAGAGTGGTAAAAGAACGCTGAGTAATTACGAGCACAGTATAGATACGTGCTTCTGTAGAAGAGTGGTAAAAGAACGCTGAGTAATTACGAGCACAGTACAGATACGTGCTTCTGTAGAAAAGTGGTAAAAGGACGCTGAGTAATTATAAGCACAGTATAGATACCTACTTCTGTAGAAAAGTGGTAAAAGGACGCTGAGTAATTATAAGCACAGTATAGATACCTACTTCTGTAGAAGAGTGGTAAAAGAACGCTGAGTAATTACGAGCACAGTACAGATACGTGCTTCTGTAGAAAAGTGGTAAAAGGACGCTGAGTAATTAATTATAAGCACAGTATAGATACCTACTTCTGTAGAAGAGTGGTAAAAGAACGCTGAGTAATTAATTATAAGCACAGTATAGATACCTACTTCTGTAGAAGAGTGGTAAAAGAACGCTGAGTAATTACGAGCACAGTATAGATACGTGCTTCTGTAGAAGAGTGGTAAAAGAACGCTGAGTAATTACGAGCACAGTATAGATACGTGCTTCTGTAGAAGAGTGGTAAAAGAACGCTGAGAAATTACAAGCAGAGTATAGATACGTGCTTCTGTAGAAAAGTGGTAAAAGAACGCTGAGAAATTACAAGCACCGTGTAGATACTTGGCGCTGGAAATGAATGTTAATTAAACTATGTGAAATTAATTAGACATTGCACATACATGGTTCTATAAGAGAATGGTAAGAGAGCGCTTAGACATTAAGCACACAGTGTAGATACGTGGTTTCGTAGAAGATTAGTAAGAGAATAGATAATAACTTTAAAGAAGACGCCAGAAAAAAATTAAGGCAAAAATAAATCACTGTGCTTGTTAATGATGAATTAAAGAAGCAACAGACAGTGGAAAGTCAAGATAGGACATAGCGACCTCGATATCGTATTACGGGGAAAAAATATGTCTCAAATATGATTACCATGGAGTCGAAAGACGAAGAAGGATTAGTGTATTTGCTTCATTCTAATCAGCTATAACTGTAGTATGCTCATGACGAGACACAGAAAAATCTGCCAGGCAATAAATTATGCACTCTATTGTTTGTGTTATATTTATCCACAAGGGATAAACACTGCTTTTTTGCCTTGGCAGTATATGTAATTTGGAGAACTGAACCGTGTAGGAAACTGGTCTCCCAAGGCTGCTAACGCCTTCAATGCCCAGAGGTTGCCTGCAACACCATCATAAGGGGTTCCATAGAAGACACTAGTCCTAGCTTCCTGAAAGTTAACTGCAGTAACTACTGCCAGACCCAGAGGTGGAAGATGGAGAAGAACATGCCGATGACGAAAAAGTTGTCCTTTGCCGGTTTCAGCTCATTTATTTAATGTTGAGTCAATACAGTTGATTCACGACAATTATCTTCCTGATTATCTGATTATTTACACATATGGTTTTATACTGAGAGGGAAGAGAAGTGCCTGATTTTTCGTAGCTAAAGCCAACGGAAAATCTTTAGTGCTGGACAGCCTGGCATATGATACCACGACATCTAAAATTAGAATGGAGGTGAAGGCGGTCACTGCAGCTTGTCGGTGGCTAGAGAACAAGATATATACAAGTGTCATAATTGTAACAGACTTTGAAAGCAAGCTGAGAAAAGTGAAGACAGGATTGCTTCGAGCAGAGTGGCAAGCTTCACTTGGAAGGTTACGGGTAGTCAGCATGCTTTGGATTTTTTTTTTCTCCAGGGTATACCAGTGTGGTGGGGAATGAACAGGCAGACAGATTGGCTCGATCTGCACCGCTGGGTGATGAATTGATACATGACAAGGTGGGTGTGGTGAGAGTCTCTAAGGAACAAGTAACGAAGTCAGAATAGAAACTTGATTACTATGGGCTGGAGATAATGATGCACCTGGGTGTGACCAGAGGGTTCAGCCGACACCCAACTCTCATGGAAAAAGGCAAGACGGACATACAACCAGACTATGACCGGCACCATTAGTATTGGAACTCTGTGTTGGCTGCTGAAGATGGGGACGGGGCGCGTAAGGGAATGCCCCGAGGGCTGTGATGTCGATTCTTGACTCAACTAAATTGTAAAATGTTGAATTAACAATCAGTCTTACTATTCCTGTCGGCTTATGTGGCTTAAGCGTTGCAGACGCGCTTCGTCATGCTGGGGTGCCAGGTTCGATTCCAATTGTGGGCCTTGCGCCTCGCGGTAGTTTCAACAGTGGTATCGAGAAGCCGACCGTCCAGCAGGCAATGGCAAACTCCTGGACGTAAATTTGCCTAGAAAAACCACAGCTAAAACAAATGCTTAGGTTGGTTCTGCAACGTCCTGTAAAGGATACGCAACTAACTAACTTACTATTCTTATAAATTCATAGCCGGTATATTTCTGGATAAAAATGCTGCCATAATTTTTTCATTGAACCCGGATCAGTATATCAGCAGATTTGTCTACCAGAGAGAGTCGCTGCTATGTAGCAGCTATTTGTTCGCCTGCCGCACTGAACGTCTTTAGGTCGAAACCGCATGGAATCGGATGTTGTTCTCAAACATGAATTTGGCTCTCAGGTCGACCCAGCCTAAAATGGGTACAAGGTTAAGCCATGGGAAGTTAAGGCGGGCGGCGTGATGTTGACCATATTCCCCACTGAGTGTCGATTGTCTATAAAAACGTGAGTCTGGCAACATACGCCTGGTGAGGGTCCTATATGTATATTTACTGACTATGCAAACCGGTTCACCCGGCCTCTAGGAAATGGGTACCAGAGTTAGCACTCTGGAGTAAATGGAGGAACATCGCTGTAGCTACGGAGTTTCGTGCGGACGGCGTCACAGGCGGACAGTTTCTTATCAGCTGTCCGTACTGGTGGCAGAGAACGTATGGTTTATAACCGTGTACAGTGACGCTGGTTCACATCTCTTAACTTCACTTTACTTTTACTGACTATGCGTATAAGCACTATGCCACGACTCACATTATAGCTTGGAGGATATCTGGCTTTCTGTCTAACCCCGCTGACCTGTCCTTCACAGTTAGATAACGGCTCCCTCTCCCTAACTTTGCCGTCAACATATGTTTATTAAATACTGCACTACAGTTAGTCCCGTCAAGCCCCGTTCAATCGCTCGGCTAACACCTTAAAGATAAGAATCATACATGTACAAGTCCCTTCAAGCCTCGTTTAACCGTCAGGTTAACATCTTAAGGGTAAGAATCCTACATGTACAAATCCCGTCAAGTCCTGTTCGGCCGTTAGGTTAATACTTCAAGGGTAAGAATCCTACATGCACATGTCCCGCCAAGTACGTTCAATTGTAAGATTACCACCTCAAGGGCAGGAATCCTGCAAGTCCCGTTCAACTGTAAGATTAACACCTCAATGGCAAGAATCCTACAAGTCCCGTTCAACTGTAAGATTACCACCTCAAGGGCAGGAATCCTACAAGTCCCGTTCAACTGTAAGATTACACCTCAAGGGCAAGAATCCTACAAGTCCCGTTAAACTGTAAGATTAACACCTCAATGGCAAGAATCCTACACGTACAAGTCCCGTTCAACTGTAAGATTAACACCTCAATGGCAAGAATCCTACACGTACAAGTCCCGTCAAATCCCGTTCAACTGTAAGATTAACACCTCAAGGGCAAGAATCCTACACGTACAAGTCCCGTTCAACTGTAAGATTAACACCTCAATGGCAAGAATCCTACACGTACAAGTCCCGTTCAACTGTAAGATTAACACCTCAATGGCAAGAATCCTACACGTACAAGTCCTGTTCAACTGTAAGATTAACACCTCAATGGCAATAATCCTACATGTACAAATTCCGTTCAACTGTAAGATTAACACCTCAAGGGCAAGAGTCCTACATGTACAAGTCCCGTTCAACTGTAAGATTAACACCTCAAGGGCAATAATCCTACATGTACAAGTCCCGTCAAATCCCGTTCAACTGTAAGATTAACACCTCAAGGGCAAGAGTCCTACATGTACAAGTCCCTTTAAATTCTGTTAAACTGTAAGGTTATGTAATGGAGACCCAACGGGTCGAGAGGTGGTCTGGAGTTAACCACACAAACACAAATTACTATCACAGCTTGTATTTACCACTTTTTTTTTTTTTGCAGTAAAGGCAAAAGGGAGGGGGAAAGGGGGGTGGGGCCGGTAGGTGAATTTCAACCTAAAGGTCTAAGAACACATCGCTAGTGCTGGTGGCCATGAACTCTGCGGGTTATGATTTTATTGTGCCCACGACCAAAAAAAAATATTTTCCTGATCTTAACCCAGCATGTTTTGGCTACTTGTGCTTTCGCTGGGCAATTTTATGTTTAATAGTATGCCACTGTAACGGTCGGCGCTTTTTTTTTTTTTTTTTTAAATTATTGAACTCAACTCTGGGTGGCCTGCTGTCCAATCACCCGCAGCTGGGATAGAACCCGGCACCACTAAATTATGAAGCTCGTTGGCAACGCCCAAGCCCTAGACGCCGGCGTCGAGGTTGGGCAGGGATATATTAAACATTTACCGCGTGTCCACTGTATGACCTATTTACATCTACACCGGAGTCACCTTATAGTAGCTCTTGTCCTCCACTAACGACGCCTCAGCATCTTTCAGCGCCTCTGTGTTGTTACCCAGCATGAGGTGACACTTCGACCGGTTAACAAGGCTCAATCTGTCATCTGGTATCAGTTTAAGAGCCTGAAATATAAACGGAAGAGGGGGAGGGGAGATATAAACTCAGTCCTAAAGAATGTACACTGGGCTACAAGCTATTTATTTGTACGTGTATTACCTACTGAGTTCCTAAGAATATCCTCTAAAGTCAATCAGTCAGATAGAAAATGTTAAGGCCGACCTCTACTACTATATAAAGATGTGTGCAAACTGGACATGAATAATACAGGTAGTGAGGTGGGCTTGTGGGAACAAAATGTCATGGGTCGTGTTGTGAGGAGAGGCACATCAGGAAGGGAATGAGAATGAAGGAAGGAATTACGGCAGAAAGGATGAGAGCTAAGCGTCTGAGAAGAAACACATTAAACATGAATGCTATAATTGTGGAAGACATTTTTTTTTTACGCAGGCGGTTCTTGCTAGTCACACTCGCCATCGCCATGGGTTGTGAGTCCCATGTCTCCTCATAGCACAATATAATTCTATCATCTGGAAAGATGGAAAATGGCAATAAAAATCAGTGTGTTAACTACTGAGTCATGGATGTTTGCACTTTGTTTATTTATAAGTCGATTCACAGATGTGTGCCGCATCGATCTTATAAGGATAGCCTCGTAATTTTTGTGAAACGTCACCTCGATGAGCGATGTTGTCAACATGACGCTGGTAGCCTTTACTTCCTAGGACTTTACCTGGCATGTCTGGAAAAAAAAAATCCGACTTCAAGCCGGTTTGAACCAACGACCGTCAGATCCGCAGGCTAACGTCTTGCGGCAATACTACGGCAGCTCCCTCTTCGTTTCTTTAGCCAGAGAATGCTACAGAAATCTGGCAACATTTATTTTATACAGTACATATATATGCTACCCTATGATTATAAGGCAATTGCCGGTTTGTTGTCATTTCTGTTGCAGCTAATTTGATCTGCAATGTCATTATCTGATACTGAAAAAGTTAACAGCCTTAGATGTAATATGTGTACTATGCAATGGTATTAGTGGATAAAACAACGGAGGGTACAAGTTAAGGGGAAAAAAAGCTATATTATTTCATTTCGAATGTTGAAAGTTGAATTAAAAATCGACGTCACATCACTTCCATAAGTGCTCCGTCCCCATCTTCAGCAGCAAGCGAAGAGTTCCAATTCTTATGACACCAGTAACCGTTTGATTGTATATCTGTCTGATCCTTCTCCGTGTTTAGCGTCTATCAGATCCCCTGGTAACTCCTCGCAGTGCCATTTTCCAGATTTCCTTTCGCCTGTAGACCAGTCTTCTGCAACTTCTGGGACGCGAAGAAACTCCAAAGGGATTTTTTTTTTTTTTTAAATTGTTTTTTGTTTAAAGAGTTGGGGATTCAGCACATTTGAAATTAAGTCCATTTGTACTTAAAAATTGTATACTAACATGTTACCCAATTTAATTAAAGCTTTACAAAAATATACAGTATTTATAATAATACATAAAAAAAAAAAAAAAAAAAAAAAAAAGGATGTTATTGTTTTTTTATGAGCAGTTTGTACATCTACCATTACAACTCTAATTAATAACATAACATGTGCATTTAATCATAGATTAAGAGCGCATTCTGACCAAAACGTTATCTCTAAACGTTATTTTTCGCCATTTTTCTGATCAAACCACACAAGTATGAAAATAACGAACTTGCAGTTAAAATTCCGTCATATTTTTTTTTATTTTCTTGTGGAGAAGTTCAATCTCATTTTTCCTGGTCCATCATTTGATGACGAGTCTTAGGAGTTACCCAGAAATCCTTTCATTATTGACATTGATATACTGCCGCTATTCAAGAAGAGGCGGTTGAGCTGAAGTTCCATTCAAGGGCTGAAGATAATTTCACATTTTAGGCTCGGATTTTTTTTGTTTTTTTTTGTTTGGTGGACTCTCTGGCAATGTACACTCAAGTGGTCCAAAAAGATAGATGTGTTTTTTTTTGCCATTTTCCGCCTTCAAGCCATCCAGTTTAACGAGATGAGGATAACACGACGGCGTTAAGACGTCGCTTTATACCAGGGTTGCCAGAAAAGACTTCATTTTGTGCTAAACCATTACCCAAAATATGCCAGAAAAGGCCAAATAAAATATAACATTGTACCCACTTCACATTAAAAGCTCTAGATTAAATTCTTCACTGTCATCCTCACTGGAGGAACCAGTGGAAGCGAAAACCTTTGGAGATGTAAAATCTTTAAGCCTTTTCTCAGATGGGATGAAGTCTTTGCAACTTATCTATAATGATGGCATATTTCTTGTTCCAAAAATCTTCAATAAGGTCATCCTTTAGTGCAAGCGATATAATATTTTTTTTTATTAGGCATGAACATTTAGTTATATGCAACTGTATGTGCTCTAGTGTACTCCCCAGACCATGCGCTCTCATGATTTCACTTAGACGATCAATCGTGCGTGTTGCGCAATGGCAGGTCATGCCTATAGCAAGTTGCAACTCTGCTGCTGTTAACTTTAACATTACTTTGCCTAGAAGTCATTGTTGTAATAAGCTGTGACTGGCTTTTTGACGGAGTTTTCATCCTGTGTTTTTCGGATTTTTCCTGATTTGATATGTTACTAATTCTTGGTGCAACAGTGCACTGACACAGTTTACAATATGCTGCCTCTGATCCATCTGAAGATCTTTTGAACCGTGTGTGTGTTTTCTTCCAGTTACTATAATACTTGCGATGTCATAAGATGCTTTCTATTTTCTGGATGACGTGGCCATTGGTAAAAGTAATAAAATCTATGACAGATAGAACTAGGTCTTTACCCTCTCTATTTTCTGTCCTCAAGCAGTTTCTGAACAGTGTGAATCACATGATGTCAGTGTGGGTTTTGGTTTTATATCCCGCATTTATTACAGTAGATTGCCATAAATTACAGAGCGCCTTGGTTTATCAAAGTCACGATCCGTTTAGGAAGACAACAGATACAATAAGAAATGGCTCGAATCTCCGTTAGTTTGTACTAGGACATCGCAACAAAGTCTAACTGAAATAAAGTCCAATTGAAATAAAGATGTTAACATTAGGTCTACATTGCTTTTTGTAAATTTGCGTGTTTCTAACGGAGAAACCATGAAAAAAAAATGTAAGCACATCTTTTATAAGAAAAGCGAGGAAAAACCCAATATGCCAAAATATACCAGTTATTACCTGATGCCAGTTCAATTTCAAATATGCAAAATGTGTGGAATCTGGCATCAAAAATGCCAATATAGCAACACTGCTCTATACACATGAATCATAATATTAGAGTGTCCTTTATTCTGTAACTCGCTGGGCTAAGAAAATACAAGGAGATCAAAGAAATATATGCACAAGAGAATCGCAGGGGATGATGGGGGCACTGTGGGGTGAACTGCACTCGACAGACAAAGTATGCGACGATTTGGCGCATGTTGCTTGGTGGCGTGTGTTCCTGTGGAAGATAAAAGGAATGGGAAGTGGAAATGAAGAAGTAAAAGACGAGGAGGAGAAGAAGAGGAAGAAGAAGAAGAAGAAGAAGAAGAAGAAGAAGAAGAAGAAGAAGAAGAAGAAGAAGAAGAAGAAGAAGAAGAAGAAGAAGAAGAAGAAGAAGAAGAAGAAGAAGAAGAAGAAGAAGCAGAAGAAGAAGAAGAAGAAGAAGAAGAAGAAGAAGAAGAAGAAGAAGAAGAAGAAGAAGAAGAAGAAGAAGAAGAAGAAGAAGAAGAAGAAGAAGAAGAAGAAGAAGAAGAAGAAGAAGAAAAGAGAACGACTATATTATTCACAACATTATTATGATTATAGATTATTAATATTATTATTACAGTAAACATTCAAACATGACTTACATAAGTATACTGATTAATAGCTTCTTTGTAGTCGCCATTGTTTAATAATTTATCCGCCTCCGCTTTATAACTATCGTAGGCTCCTCTGATTTTTTCCTCCTCCTCTTCGGGTAGGCCAAACATTTTTAAAAGCTTTTCTGTCGACGATGTTCAACAGCACGCAACTATACGATGACAGCAAAGTTGTTTAAATGTCTTTCTTTCCTGGCAAAGACATTTAACTTGATGAAACAGGCGTTGTTTGTGCGTGCTTATACGCATCAGTTTTGATGATGGAAAGTGAAGCTGGATCGTACTTAGGGGCAAATCATTTTATGCAACAGACAATTTGCACTGCGATCACTTTTGGTGCGGAAGTGCGTAACGTGAAAACCCTATACTGGTTAGGTTAATGATGAATTAGGGATGAATGTCGAATGTTGAATCAAGAATCGACATCAGGGCACTCGGGACACTCCCATAAGTGCTCAATCCCCATATTCAGCAGCAAGCGAAAAGCTCAAATTTCGCTTGTACCACTAACCGTATGACTGTAAATCCGTCTTATCCTTCCACTGATCTCCTTCGGCCAGATCCCCTTGTAACTCCTCGCAGCGCCATCCTCCTTAGACCGTAATGCTCTATCTTCGCCTCCGTACTGTTTACTCGCTCCCAAAGGGCCCTCACGACATCTAGCTTGTCATACATCAATTCACCTCCAAGCGGTGCAAAGCCAGCCAGTCTGCCTGCCTGCTCATTTCCTAACACACCAGCGTAACCTGGAGAAAATATCCAAAGGATGCTAACTACCCGGGACCTCTGAAGTGATGCTTGCCACTCTGCACGAAGTAAGCCTGTTTTCACTTTTCTCAACATGCTTAAAGGGTCACTACACGGCCTTTTTTTCCTTTTGTGACAAAAATATCACTTTTTTAATGTGTTAGTTTTTGTAAAGTTCGCATTCGTAGAATAGATTACACACAAAATTTATGTCATTTGTAAACAGTTTAGCATTGAAAAGTTAATACTAAAGACACCAACCCATGCACTTTTTTAAGATAAAAAAAAAAAGGTTTAAAAGTCAATTTTCTCACATCTCTATCTTTCTGTTTGTTGTGTATGTGAAATCCTAAATTCTCAGTTAATATAAAAACTGCAAACATGAAATTTTGTTTAGATATTTCTTGAAGATTATTATAGAGACTGGTCTATTTAAAAGTAGATTTTAGAAAGATTTTGTTTTTTTTAAATTTGATTATTGTCCTATGATGCTAGATTTTTTTGACTTTTTCAATAAACCTAAATTTAAAAATTCTACGAAAAATATTTAAAAACATGCTTAAAGTAAATAACTTATACCTGTACTTCTAAATGAGATTAAAGGTCATGAATCCATCATCTATTGTTTAATATGTATGTGCGGTTTTTTTTTTAATTTTATGATTCTAAGTACAGGTAGTTTTTTCCAAGATGGCGGCTTTTGCCATGACAACCATGATTTTTTTTTTTTTTTTACATTTAAAGTATGCAAAGGAAAAAACATGTATCCCTTCAAATGACCATTATAAAATAATTGCTCTAACTGTAAATAAAAAAAAAATGGTGTAGTGACCCTGGATAAATGAATTAAAATGAAATAAATGCGTCCTCTTTTTCTGTACGTAACGAAGAGTCGACATGCTAGTGGTTCACACTGCATTCTAATTAAAAGTCCGCCTTTATTTTCCCCTTCGTGTACATCTTCTAGACCCCCCCCCCCCTTTCCCACCAATTAGTCTTCCAGTGTATGCATTTTCTGTCTGTTCGGCTTCACTGCCCATTCCATCCCACAGAACCTTCGCCACGTCCACCTTATAATAAAGTAGCTCACCTCACAGAGGCGCGACAACAGCTGATCTATCAGTCTTCTCGTTAACTCGCACACCTAAATGACACGGACAGAAAAATGCTTTACATGCTCCTGATTTGAAGTAGTAATCTACGCTGTGTGAGTCCGTTTCAATTACAACATGTCGGCCTGTGCTGCTATTGAAGTCAGCTATCAGCACCGGAAGTCAGCTATTTATCAGCATTTACCCAGTGTAGTGGTAACTTGATCGTGTTTAAGCATGTTCAATCCAAGGTAAGGTTTGGGATTTTTTTCACGTGGATTTGGACTTCTAGTAATTCCCCCTGGTCTCTTTATAGTGAGGTCGGACGCCCGTGAGCTTTGTTGACACGTAAAAAAATTCCTTGGCAGTTGGAAATCGAAAAGAGTAGCCTAACGGCGCTGCCAGGGCAAAATTTAGGGTTAAAAATAGACCTAAAGTATTTCAGGATCCTCGCCTGTGCTACAGAGCCTGTGCGCTGCATTGAGCTTCCTCGAACTCAGACTTCAGTTAGAAGAAGAACGGAGCATTTATGGGTTACTACCCGTCTGCCATGATGTTGATCCGTTGTTTAAACCTCAAACCTTAGCATATCTATAAGTATCTCAATCCATTCTTGTCATGTTTGAGCTTGTATTAGACTTACCGGATTGCATTTTCTGCCTAGGCCATCAATAAGATACATCTTTTAGTATACATTCCTGTTCTTTTATAGGTGTCTATGTTACGTTATCACAATCGATGCAGATGCCAATTTGATATTTCCACATAGGCTCAGTTTTCCGATGCAGAAGTTTTCCCCAGCTTCTCACTCATCCGATGAATTGTTTAAAATTCCTATCATAACCCAGAAGATGGCGATCAAAGCGCTGAGCAAGGCTGGTTTCTGCCCTCTGATACTCTCGTTTATGCTTTGATCTGTGCAGTGCCGTATTTCCTGGCCATGAATATCATAATCATCAGGTGCCTTGCCGACTGGCGTGGGCGATCATGCCTCTCCATAATCCACGATCTCCTGCAGCACGTATCAGTTCGTGTGCCGACACACCTCCATGCAACAAGACTGTCAAGCATCTTCTCTCGTTGTCTTCCTCTATCCCTTCTTCCACAGATCTTCCCATTGGTGACAACATGTTCATTTTTCCCTCTTCTAATAACTTAGCCGAAAAATGATGACTGTCTCCATGAATATAGGGATGTTTTTTCCATTTCTTCGTTCTTCGCATTTTTCTTTTGTCGTCTCATTGATATTAGGGTGTAACCCTGTGTCGTGGTATTTTGTATTTGTCCAGATTTAAAAAAAAAAAAAAGTATTTTGCAGGTTCGAGCGACATCATTTAAAGCCAAAGGGTTAACAACTCATAGTTTCTAGATCCTCAAAATAAATAAACGATCTCTTTCTTGGTCTTCCCCTTGCCTTCCTCCCAAATGTTCTTCTGTAAACAAAAAGTATCATATGCAGTTTGGACTGACTCCATTCTCACTTGATGGCTGAACCATTTCGTTCTTTGCCTGTCAATGTAAATTAGACATGTCTTACTCCAGCGTTCTCTCTAATGCTGTCCTTTCTTGTGTGGCTAGTGAATTACAAAGACAGCTTATTTCACAGGTAGTTCTTTTCTGTTCTAAGTGTCCTAATCACTATCCATGTTTGGCGCTGATTGCATAAAGCAGTAATGAAGATGTTATTTAGTATTTGCTGTTATCTATTGTAAAACAAAACTCTATCCCCATCAAGGATATATGTCAGATATGAGCATTTCACTAAGGGCACAAGCCGTTAGTTAGTTAGTTAAGTCTAGAATTGACATCACAGCACTCAAGGCATTCCCATGCGTGCCCGTCCTCATCTTCAGCAACCAGCGCAGAGTTCCAATACTGATTGCACCGGTCACAATCTGGTTATAGGTCCGTCTCGCCTTTCCTATGAGTGTAGTGAGCCGGCCAAACTCTCTGGTAACACTGAGGTGCCTCATTCTCTCCAGGTCATCCTCCAAGGCACAAGACGTTTGATTAATCAACACAGAACACGCGCTGTTTGTCATTTTATGCTCATAAAGCTGTACCACACATAGATCTGTCCGGTGTGCTGTGATGATCATAATCAAGTGCCTTGCCGACTGACCAGGTCGATCGTGCCTTTCCACAATCTGCTATCTGCAACTGCGTACAGCAGTTCGTGTGTTGACACCCCTCCATGATTTGACAAAATGCTGTCAAGAATATTCTCACGCTGTCTTCCACCGTCTCTCTTTCCACAGATATTTCCAGTGGTCGCAACATGTTCCTTTTTCCTCTTCTCATAAAATGACCAAAAAATGATGAGTGTCTCTTTCTGATGTTTGTGATAAGTTGTCTTGGAGCATTCGGCTCTTTCAAAACAGCTGGGTTGCTCTTCTTAGCTGTCCAATAGATTCTAAGGATTTTTCTGTAAGTTGTGGTGATAGTCATGTAGCAGGTCATTTGCAGAACGTCGCTCTCATCACGGTCTGTCTGAAAGAAACTCGGTCTCTCGTCAGCTCTCCCGCCTCATGTACTTTTATCCTCAAGGAGTCACTTATATCCTGTGCCCATCTTCGTGTTGGTCGGCCCTGCCCCTCTTTCCTGGTACCCTGCCTTCTGCTATAATTTTTTTTTTACAGTCCGTCGTGGCGCTTGATATGACTAAAATATTTCAGCTTCCGAGACAAGATGCTGTTTACTAGCCAATCTTCCTTGATGTTCAGATCTTTCAAGAAGTCAGTATTTTTCTTCTTCTTTGTCGAGGATATTCTGAGAATCTTTCTATTGCATTTCAGCTCAAAAGCCCTTGTTCTCTTTCTTGAGGACTGAGAGAAAGTCCACGTCTCACATCCATTTGTTGATACAAGGAAGATGCATGCTCTCAGAATTCTAATTTTAATGATTTTCATCACTAATCATAAATTACTAACATTTTGTTGACATTAATCGCGCATATAAAACGGAAATACCCGATTTGTAGGCAGAGGTTGCATTCAAAACGTTCACTAGTTGGTTACACTAAGGTAATGGCGATGATGATGACAGTACGATGGAAATATTCTGTCCTTGTATGCGCAGTCTGAGGAATACTGATAAAGAATCAATCTCTACCTCCCGCCACACCACGCTAGGTTAGAGGCTGTTTGTGTGTTGATAATATCTCATACATGTACATATATCTTCAGGTCCTTTACAGAACGTCGCTCTCTTTACGACACACATTGAGTATAAAACTAAAAGTAAAAGTATACGAAATACGTAGAAGATCTGGTA